GTAGCGGTGGTGGCGGTGGTGGCGGTGGTGGCGGTGGTGGCGGTGGTGGCGGTGGTGGCGGTGGTGGTGGTGGTGGGGGTGGGATGGCGGCGGTGGCCTTGGTGGTCGGCGTCGTCGTAGTCGCGAAGCACGAGCGCTGCAGCAGGCGGCAGCACAGCCCCTGCACCCCGCGAGGGCTCGGCTGGCTCGGTGGCATCATCTGCGGAAGGAAGTCGCTTGCGGACAAAGTCAACTGCCTGTCGCTGCAACAGGTGCGAAACGCGTTTTTCATTGTGGTACGGTGACATTCTGCAGAACGCATCCAAGAGAACGTACAGAATGCGATGTCAGGATGGACAGAGCCAGAACACCTAGCAGCGAGAGGCCAGAAGGGGCCTGCTGGTTGGTCTTCACATCCCATACACCATCACAGCAGATGAGCAGGAACCTGGCATGTAAGAGCCTGTAGCACATAGACCCAAAAGATTAAAGGGGGCCGTCTCAAAGCACGCTATCGTAGCCCTGTATCCAAGCCGGGCGCACTCATCTTTCTCCAGGTCACGCTCCTCAGAAGAAGCTATCCAAAGGTGTTGTGAGGTTTAGCTACTTCTAACTTGTGCGACCATCGAGGGTTTTGCGCACGCCCTTTGCAGTCAAGGAGCCCTGAAAGTCACGTCAGGGGTGGAGCAGATGATCTGCTCCTCAGGACGACGAGAGATGTCCTGCGAGAGTGCTGATGCTGACAGGCTTTCAAGATCATCATGTGTTCTCAAGAGCCCTTGCAGGATGGTTTGCCGGAGACTAGTCGCTTGCCTTGTTACCATTGATGTCACTACAAAGTGTGGTGGCTGAGTCAGGCTCACGGACGATCCTTCTTGTACTCCAGGTCTCCCAGCGCACGAGACAAGTTCAGATTGCCGTTCACGCGGTGCTGCCCCGCCCTTGCAAGCAACATCTAAACTTCAATATTGACAAAAGCCAACTTGCTCCAAGCCCCATGCCCACAGCTTTCCACCCAGCCGCCGGCCGCCTCCCAGTCAAGCGAAAATGTGGCTGGCGGTGCGTCGCCGCGTCAATGCCACCAAATGGAATGGTTCTGCGATTTAAATCCTCTTGGCGGCCTGGATCCGCCGCTTCTCGCCGGCATCGTTCGGCTTGTGGTCCTGTTGACTACCGCAATCCGGGGCCTAGGGCCCCAGAGACAGTGACAAAGGAAGCACTACGCGATCTCTCGTTCTGCACATCTCCGCGTTCTCTACGTCCCGTGTGCTGCTTTGTCTTGTGGCCCATCCTTGCTGAGAGGGATCGCCACTCCACCGCTGCAAAGCACCGCGCGGCTGGGCAGGTGAAGGATATAAGTGATTAGCTCTAAGTGCCGTCAAGACGGCATCAGGATGCAAGGAAAGACTCTGGTCTGACAAGCTTGAGTATATGAAGCTGTGCCACGCCTGTCGCCAGCATTTGCAGTGATGATCTGCGTGGCCGTGATGCAGCACACACATGCGGTACAACCTGATTTGGAGGTTGACAGCAAAATTAGCGCTGAAACAGCTAGGTACGCACACCATTTCCAGTGATCCAACTCGCTCCCACGATCGGCCTGCGCTATGGGCATCACCATTTCGCGGGGGCTGAATCATGGCCTGCGCATAGGGCCTCCTACTTTTCGGTACTGTGGCCACTGAGCAGGAGCGTGCACCTGAGGCCCAGCCCCAGGTGGTGCTGTCCGGTTCGTGAGCGCGAGTAGCTCTGCGGCAAAGTGGCCTGGGAGATCCGACTGCTTCCGAGAAGGGGGTCGGGGAGGGACAGCACCCTGGAAGCAAAGTTGTTCGTTGCAGGTTCAGCCGCATCTGAAAATGCATGTCGTTACATGCTGCCTGGTATCCATCTATGCATGCCTACAGCCATGCATGTGCGAGATACACATATGCGCCATTGCAGCGTATTCCGACAAGGACAGGTGTGTATTCTCCGGCTCGAAACATGTTGTCAATTCCTGAAACAAGAGCCTGCACAACAAACACGGCTCGGAGCTCTTTCAGCTGTGGGCCGCTCCCGTCGTCTAGACCGCCCCTCCCCATATCCACCGCAACAGAACCACGCCAAAACAAAACCAGCAAAGGATTAGAAGGCACATTGGCTGCAAACATGACGCGCGGATTCATCTTTCAGGTCGAACCCACTAACCATCCGCTGCCGAGTAAGTGGCCGCTTCGCAGCATATCGTCGATTTTGTGGAAAGACCCTGCAGGGCGATGACGAGAATGGAGGGGACGAGAGACGAGGGACGTCGAGACTATGTGCGGGCCCTTACCAAGCCTTTCATTGCATCTTCCATCTGCTCCTGCTTGCCCGGACCCTCCTTGAGGGGGAACTTGGCCAACTCCTACAGGCCATCAAGCAGGCTGTGCACTGCAAGTAGCGTCAGGCGTTTGAATCGGCTGCACGGGTACATGGGGCTGACTCCTCCGGCAAGCGGCTGCTGCTAAATCTGGCCACCTCAGGTCTCACAGACAGGCCAACGGCTGGTAGCTGGCAGCTGGCCGACAGGCCAGGGCCCCAACCTGAGCCCCACCGTGACCGTCGAGCACGCCAAAGACGGCCGTCTGAGTCCAAGGAGCCTTTACTTCAATTCTCCAGCAACACGCTTGGCTCATGCAGCTGCAACAGATGCAACGTGCTGCTGAACGCTCGCGCATGGACTGCCACCTTTCCTGCGTGTCAATGTTGCTCACTGCGAATCCAGAAGAACTCGGTCTAGGACCCGATGCAACTTCCCTTGTCTGCCGAGGCTCCGCTGAGCTGGCACGCCGAGGCATGACGACCGGCCTCACCGACTCTGAGTTGAGGCTAGTGCGGTCTGAGGCAGGCTTAGCGATTCCTCAAGGGCCCTGCAAAGTGATGTGGGCGTCTTCCATGGACACCCGCCAGCCTTGCCTGGGCGAGTGTGGGATTGGATATCTGCAAACGCAGAACCCTTGCCGTGTGCTTAGGAGCTTTTGGCCTTGACCTTGAGGCACACATGCTAGGACCAGGAGGATGAAGCTCCGGCTCTTGACGTGTGGAGTCGCAGAATTTCTAACAACCCACACTACATTGACTCTTCCCACACCCCAGATGTAGACATCCACCGGACACCACAGCAACGATGGGAGATACGGACCCACACTCACTGGCAAGTCACATGGCACTCGCTGCCCACGAGAGGCCTTGGGCGGGACGCATGCAAAACCAATACAGCTGCTGGCCTCTGCATAGGAGTGACACCCGCATAACAATAATCCGGTTCGGCCCACATTCGCCGCAATGAATTCATTCTGTGAGAGCATAACAGCGAAAGCTAGCTCAAGGCCGAGGAGCGCAGTGGCCCGCAGTCGACACCGCTTTCGGAGCTCTTCCGGGTAATCGGCTTGTCCTGCGAGGGATAGCGATGTATCACGATGCAACGTCACTATCATTCAGCCATCCCAAACCTGGACGAACCCACAAACAGCCAAGACACCATCTAGGAGAAGATGCGCAAAGAAAAAGCCAGTTCCGAGGCTCGGACCAGCACGCCCCCCATGGCTGTCTAACGAGTTGAGTCTTACAGTATGAAGAATACTGCCCTTGTGGGACACGTCCGGAAATCGTGTGTAACAGTGTATGCATGGTCTCAAGGAGGCGGAAGCACCGTGGTCTAACTCCTATTATCTTTCCAGCTATGAAGATCAAAGGTAGTGGATAGTGAGTGATGGGCAACAGGAGGCTGCAACGAATCGCGCTCCCAAAGACTTTTTGCGAGGCTTTGCAGTACGGAGATGTCGGGGAAAGTTTGGGAGGGGATCTGCCAATCTAGACCTATGCAGATGCATGGCCCAAGCAGCTGCAGAATAGCAAATCCACAACAGTCAGGATGCAGGACGGACACACGTGCAATCCACTCCCGCTCATCTTAGAAGCCTGTGGCATGCCTTTCTTCGATGCTCTTTGCAGCTGCAACTGCATCTACCGCGGCCTACCGCGGCTGAGCCAGGATCATCAACCGCCAGCGAACTTACCGGTGCATTCGTACTTGGCCTGTCCTTCTACTGAAACTGGCCCGAGTCTCACGAGCTACATGTACTTGGAACTGCTTGGAGTCCTTGGAGTTTTGCCCAAGGAAACCAGGCTTTTCGCAGGGCACTGCAATCTTCTGTGACGGGAGCTTTCCCAACGATGGCTCGCATCGTTGCAGCATCAATCCCCCCAGGGCAGGGTCCATCTGCCAGCAGCTCCACAGTTCAAGTGAAGCACACCTGCCTGATGATCCGCACTGGCTTTCAGGCGTCCGAAGTTTAGGGGATCCAGATCACATTCCCACTCTGCTCCTGCTATCGGAGTCCGGAACCCTCGAAGTTCTCACAGAACCACCAAGCACGTTGGCCACATGCAGAGAGTCAAATCTGTATTGTGCTGACCCTGCGAAATCTCTGTTTCTCCGATGATCCTTCGAACTGAGACCCAAGCGCGTCACATGATCTAACTCCCTGCGGGCCTGTGACTAATTCAGCTCACAAGATCTAATCTCCTAGCCTTGGCGATGTTGGTCGATTGCTAGACCATAATGATCATAATCTGGCGATTTTGTGAGCATGGCGAGCGTGAAACGAGCCTGCAGCCAGATCGCACCCTTCGCCGGTGTTAAATTGCACGCACTGGCGTACCGGCCATGCGAACCTCAGCTCAGAGCGGCTGGGAAGCACGGCCGACATTTCGTTCGTCAGCCAAAAAATGACATCCAAGTCCCGTGCCGGGCGCAACACGCTGGCGATGCTTTGGACGGTCGCGACTCCTGGAGCTCCTGGTAGAAGTTCAAGGCAAGGCAAGGCAAGGCAAGGCAAGAGACCCGCGTGTCTCTTTGGGAGACGACAGGACACCTTGACCAGCGATTGCCCGGACACTTTGGCTCACGGGGCCTCAGATGGGCGGTGTGTTGCACCGCACAGCCGCAACAACGTGTGCTACGGCCCTTCACTAAGCTTTTCTAGCCATTCGCCGTCTTCTCCCTGTGGCACTGTGGAACTGCTTCAGTATATACTGCCATGCAACCGCTTGCCCATGTGCACGTCCTTGTCTGAGTCACCCACTGAGACTGCGTGCGACCATCGGCGAGCCAAGTTGTGGCGAGCCCGTCTGAGCAGAAGCGCTCACAAAATTGCGTGAGCTTCCCTGGATGGGATAGAAACCTTATTGTGGTCTCCCCCTGTGTTTCGCCATGATATTGAGTCATCCTTGTATGACCTAGTTCTTAGTTTGTCCTCGAAGAAGACCGAAGTCTGGGACTGTTCGGCTTCATAGCTCAAGGGATAAGAGAAAGTTGCCCTTGTCACAGTCCACAGACATTTGCCTGAAGTGCTGATAGCTGCAGGCTTGCTGATTGATATTTCCTTCCAAGCTTCGAGGGCATGGCGCACGAAGAGTGGAAAGCACGGGTTAGAATCTGGGGCCCTCACCGCTCGTACAGGACGGCTGGAATACACAGGCCGGACCGAGGCCGTAAGCCTCTTTGCACATCAGAGGATCTGCGCAACCCCGTCTTCCTCCGTTTAGTGAGATTGCTTTAGTGCACACTTTTCACGATGTCCTGAGGATGCCTCATGGCTATGTCTGAGACCCTCGCTGCTTGTTGCCTCGGCCCGATGGTGCGGTCTCCAAGCTTCCCGGCAAAAACAGATCGATCTTCATGCACGGGGGGCAAGAGTCAGGAACCCGGATGCAGTCAGCAGGGCGTGCCGCATATGTCGTGGTCAGGTCCTAGGGCCACTGAGTGCGATGCTGGCGGTCGGTGGGGATGGGACCTCCGCAAGTCATGTCGAGATTTGGATCGTGGATGGAGTGCTAAGCAGACTGCACTCACCAGGCTCCCGAAAGCGAACTCAGACTCAGATGGCCTTGTAAGTCATTGTCCTGCTGAGTTCAACGTGCCCATTCCTCACAAACGAGAATGAAATTATGGCACATACAGTGCAGTCACATACACGTCAAGCAGGTGGCAGTCGACTTGAGAGCTTTCGGCTGGCTGGATCTGCACTGACCGTCTCGGCTGATGCAACCATGGGCAGTCTCTATGCACTGCATGAACTCGACTGCGTGGCCACACAGCGGCTACGAAAGGCAGTCTCCAAAGTAGCGCAGACAACCGGTCAATCTTCCCTGCGAGAACCCTGTATTACAAAGAAGCTGGAGGTCCTGGTGTCAGGTGGTGGCACCGACGTGGAGGTCGTCTGAGACCTGGGATTCACTTCGGCATCATCTGCGGACAGAATGACATGGGAGCTGGTGACGGGGAAGGCCGGAGCGATGTGGAATGTCGCTGAGGTAGCGTCCCATTCGTACGTGCATCAGGACTTTGACGTCGAGACTGCCTGCACAAAGCCGCGGACAGGTGGCATGCTCGGTGGTTCCCTACTGCCAGTTCCATGCCAAGGGGGCCAGACTTGCCCTCAAGTGCCTTCGTGACAGTTGGTGGTTTCGGGTTTCTATGAATATGCTTTCAGATGCCTCTATTGTATACTCTCTCCAAACGGAACCACTGACGCTTCGAACGGATGGCAGCTCATCACGTGCGACCCACCTCCCGAGCTCATGACAAAACAGCTGGCAGAGGGCCTTGTGGACGCTTCACCTACGCAGCGGTTTTGGCTTCGGACGACCCACACATCTCCATGGCCCACAAAATGGCCTCATGCGGTCGCAATGCATGCAACCTAACCCTAACCCTCACACCTCCCACAGCACGGGCCGCTGGGGCTGGTGGCGAGAGGTTCTGGGCCGCCTTGGTGTCTCATTGCTCAGAGCCAGCACAGCTCGACATTTTCCAGGGCACCAGCTGCCCTTGTGGCGGCAAAGCTATTGCCGGGATACCCCGAGACCGGAGCAACTCCTCTCGGCAGGCTTTGGAGAAAACGGGATGTCATGCAAGACCGGTCAAGACCATCCCCAACTGCTTCATGGCTGGATCCTGTTCTGCCACATCGCGAGAAGCTGACACTTCGGCAGCTTACGACACACGAAACCACCACACTCACGGCTGTCCAGGGGTCAAACAGTCCTCGACGTGTGAGCACCGGCGTTCCAGTGGGGCTGGCGAGAGGCCGGTGCGCCTCTATGAGAATCCATCTAGTCATGTGTCGAAGGCAGCTCAACAACACAAGCTGGCTATCTCGCCAAGCTGCCTGGTAGCCGCTTGCTTGTGTCGGCCTTGCTCGGACGAATTCAACGGAAACACTTACGGAGGCGACACCCGACACGAGCCCAGCACCACGCAGGCTTGCGGGCAGCCTGCGCTAACAGTGCAAGCAGAGCAGGGACAGGCGCTTCCGACAAGGCCCGCCTGTTCGGAGCGCTGCGGCATCTTGGGCGTGGACAGCACGGGCGAGCCCTCAGCAAGGCTGGAAACCATCGCAAAAACTCGAGAAAACAATCTTCCTGCCTGTGGCTGCACTGGTGCCGCGGCAGATGACCTCGGGTCACCGAGCAGAAGGCTGTGTCAACTCTGGCTTTCCCATGGTGAAATAAAGATCTCAGCGACAAGCACGGGCGTGGAGGCTGCAGATCGTTCGTTTGTCTGTGCTTCTCCTTGCAGCATTGCTTTCCGACTCCAACTGCCTCACAGCCCCTCGTCCGTTCAACCCCGCAGCCTGATGCCCGGTGGCGTGGCGAGGCCATGTTTCGCACCTGCAAAGATGACTTTTTTATTTGCAGCCTCCAGCGTCTCGGAAACAAACTAGACAGGCCAAGCGAACCTTCTCGCACGAAGGAACGCGGCCATTTTTCTGCCTCCGTGCCCATTTCCAAGCCCAAGCAGCACGGATCCGAGCTCGTGGTTTCGCAACCGAGCTGCAGCGGCAAGTGCTTGCTTGTCGCCCCCGTGCCGCTCGAAGGCCTGGGCGCTCTGGACACACAGGAGGGTCCACGCTCAGCGGTGCAGCCAGGCGCAGGACGGGGTGCCGGGCTGGGAAGGCAGCTGCCTCAGCTGAGCCAGGAGCCACTTAGATACCTGTAAGGCTCCAGGGCTCCCAAAGACTCCGGAGACATCCAACTAAAGAACCATGAAAGACTGTCTCCCTCCAGGCACTCCGACTTGGAGACTGGTGCATCGGAAGGCGGTGTAGCAGCCTCCAACTCCCAAGGATCACTGAGAAAGGTGAACGTTCGGTCATGGCATCACTGTGCCTCGCCGCTGGTGCCGACGACCCAGGGATGCCTCAACAGCTACCGGCGGCCGATTCGATGAAGAAGCCCCATCTCAGGCTCAGGATCGCCTCAGCACCTGTTCCAGTGGCAGGCGCTGCGCCGGGTCCTCCGAGACGTTTTTACACGAGCCAACAGTCTTCAGCATGAAACCCTGGGTCAGCTTGGTCCACGGCCCGCTTAAGCAGGCGCCGCACGAGGTCCACCACCAGCGGAGGCAAGCCAGGCTGGAGCGGTTTCAACGCTGTGCCCGCACTCGAAGAGATAGAACTCCCGCAAGGCCCCAGCCGGAAAGAAGATGGCAATCTTCAGGATCCTGAGCAATTCGAGCAAACCCGGCTGTCGATAAAGCAGTGCTGAAACCAACGGCTTCGGGATGCTGGAGGGAAGGAAGGTTAGGATATCAGCATGAAGCACTGCTTGTCTTCTTGAGTTCAGCATGGAAGAATCCTTGCACAGGTCCTGTCGATCAACATCGTGTGGTTGGTGCTTTGAAAGGGCGGACGCCCAACCTCGTGCAAGCGGACGAGCCGAACAACACGGCACTTCTTGGAAGCAGTGGCGACATGGCTAGAGCTATAGAGGATGAAGACGACGCTGCGTATGTCTGTGTCCACACAGTGTTCACAAAAAAATCTGAGCAATCGGCCATCATTTCGTACAGCAGGATGCCGACGCTCCAGATGTCGAGGGTGTGGTTGTGCCCACTTCCCTGTCCAGTCTGCTTTAGCGTGCCCCATACTTCAAACCTTTCATGAAGCTACCCGCGACGAAACACATCGATGATTCTTCGGAACTTATCGAAAAGCCTCTGGTATCCCAAACGGAGCACAGTGTCCATGAAATGAGTGTCCCACCTGGATCATCTCTGGGGCCAAGTAGTCCATGGTTCCACAAAACGTAGTTCGGAGCACGTTCGTGGCAGCGCACCTCGGCGCGGGAGCCACCAGAAGCAGAAAGTCTTTGCCATAGCCCACCATGGCTCGTTACAGTAGAAAGGTGCCTGTTCTGCATACTTTCGTGCTAGCTCCTGCAATGCCTCAGAAACTGAACGGTTTGCTTTCTGCTTCGGCCGCCACACTCCATCGCTAAGTTCGGCACCATCCGAAGTCTCCAATTTTCAGCACGTCGTCGTGCGTGACCAGCAAGTTCTGCACATGCTCACAAAGCACGATCGACCTTGTGCCTGGGTTGCCAACATCGAAACCTGTGTGCCGTCGAAACCGCAGTGGCCACTGCCACGTCGAGCTACATCGAACTGTTGCGGCAAGCTTGGTCGACAAATGGTTACAGCAAGATCATCTTGGAGCAACCATCATAGCTTCCCAGAGATAAAGGAACATGGTAGGAAAACTAGAAAGCCAGAGTTGCAAGCAACTCCCCGCAAGCTGGCTGCAAGAACTCAAGACCGAGTTAATCCTTCCCTCGCCCGGGCGCCTCCGGCTTCAAGTCTCTGTGGACGATTTGGTGCGAGTGGAGGTACTTCAGCCCGCGGACCAACTGAACGGGAGCGCCAGGATACATGCAGAACTGCAACTGCAATAGTAACATGTGCTCGCACTCTGCTTATGACAGCAACACTTTCTGATACAAGAGCCATTTACAAGCGTGTTTCAACATTGCCAAAAGTCTGACTGCATGTCTGCCGCCGACGAAGTGACAGCACGTTCATGCAAAGGTCTCGTCGGATGGCACTCTCCTTTCAGCTTGAGCCTGGACGAAAAAATGCTTGGACATCTGCTCGCTGAACTTGCGTCCCTTCTGCGTCCTGCACATAGCAAACACATCTTTCAAGCATCCTGCTCTGTACCTGCACGGCTTAACGACTGCGTGCGTGGCACCTACAACAGGCTCTGCGGCACAATCACGACGCATCAACACGGTGCAAAAGGCACAAGCATTGCCTGCGAATTCTCCCTTAGCCTGCTCGCGTTCCTCTGACACTCATGACAGAGACGGTCCGGAGAAGCTGATACAGCTCCCCTTTCGCGCAGTACTCCAGGAGTAAATAGACCGTGTCTTCGTCCTCATGGCTTCGGCAACTTGTCGTTCTGCTGCAGAAGCAGATAAACATGCCCTTCACGTCGCATACTTTCAACCTCCTTGTATCTCCTTGACAGATCCTCTGACACTGGCCTGATTCTCCCCCCAATGTGCCTCGAAGTGCTTGTAGAGTCGCAGCACGTTCTCATGCTTTAAAGTCCGCTGGACCTGGATCTCCCTTTCCACCTGCAGACTTGCTGAACTCAATTCCGATCGGTTCAAACAAGGACACACGAAACAAGTGCCCTGCATGTCATGCACCTGCTCCACCAGTTGACCGTTGACCACCTGCGCGAGCAACAACAATGTCTTCATGCAGGCTAAAGATCAGAGAGAACCGTTTGAGAGGCGTACTCAGGCATGTGGGCATGCGGCCAGACTCCTGCTGCATCACACCCCGCCTCTGCTTTCTGCATCGTCTTGAGCGCGTAGACATCATCAGTTCCCTGCTCCCCGATATCGAAGGAGCAAAGCCAGCAAAGCTTGTGGGGATGGAAGCACTAACAAATTGGCATGCTGTTCGAAGGAAAGAACATTTCCCGCCTTGCGCCGGATGCGTCGCACGACACCGAAGGAGCCCTTGCCCAGCGACCGGCCTCCCGACAAAGATGGGCATCAAAGGGATTCATGCGCAGGTCTTTTGATGAGTTGAGCTGCTGGAACACAGCTTACATAGTTGCACAGTCGCGTCGGCACTGCACCAGCAACCTCCTTGTCCGTCCAGCATCTCGAAATCCGAAAGCTTCACCTTCAGTTATGCTGGTTTGGTTGTTGTGAACAGTTGCACCATCTTGGGTAATTATATTATACAGAACCTCCAATATGTTGCCGATGCTCATGATGCTTGCAGCAAGATTGTTGAACCCTGACTGCCTTCGCCACTGCTTAGGAAGCAAAACCCATTTTCCCGAATGCACGCAGCAGCACACAACTTGCTTCTGCCATCATCCTGTCATTTTCACATGACGGACGCACCCAAAGATCCTGCGACGGCCCTGTCGCATCCAGGACGGGCTGCAAATGCAATGAATTCGGTCAAGTTGTCCAAGGCATCAATCTCATACTTCACGCCACCTTTGGACAGGTCGTCAAGGCCTTGCAGATACGGATGCAGCACATCACCCATTCCTGACCGTCCAAGCCGCCTCCGAAGGCCGGCCATTTTCGCATTGTCAGGTGCAGTAAGGCGTAGGACATCGGTTCTTCTCAAGCCGAAGCGGACAGCCCCGTCCACACCTCCTGCACAAAGCAATGGAACGGCCTCAGGCAGTGTAAGATCGTCCTGAAACCATGCTGCCTTCTCTGGACCAAAGGCATAGGTTGCGGCAATCCACAAACCCGAAGGATCGAAATCCACAATGATGAAGAATTTCGGGTTGGCACAGGCTGCCTTTAAGTGGCGGAGGAAGTACCGGGTTGGAATGTCGGGAAAACCACGGGCCGTGACAACGATACACGGCTTGTGTTTCTCGAGAAACCCTTCGTCCAGCAGCCGGTGGAAGATGGTTTCTTTCTCCACCACGAAAATGTGCTGTGCCATGGTCTCCACTCGTAAGACATGTGCGCAAATTGGTGAAATCGAATGACCTCGTGGTTCCAAGGGGTCCATGCCATCTACCCAGACGGCATCACCCGAGTTGCCACCACTTCGAGGCTCCAAGATTCGGAGGTGACCTCGTACAATGCCCTTGGCTGTGCCCACCAAGCGCAAGTAGTGACGCGGCACGGCCAGTGCTTGACAAAGTCTTTTCAACATATCATCGCTGAGCTGCTGCCTTGAGAACAAAGAGACATGCCCTTGGTCGACACCCCACTCGAACTTAAAGAGTAATTACAATTGCAGCGGAAGAAGAATGAGACAAAGTTCCGACCGAGCATCGATAGTAGAGCTCCCTGCATGTCGCATGACGGCCCGAACAAAGGAGACCGTGAATCGAATCCAGCAGCGCCAGCAGCCGTCGTGCACGCAGCGCTTGGCTGCTGCTGCGCGGCCGAGGTTCGGATGAGTTGGTCGTGAAGCCCAGCAGCCCCTCGAGCTGAGCCGCCAAGCGTCCACGCTGGGGCCGGGCAAGAAGTGCCTGCGCTTGAGGCCGGGCGCCCGTGTGGTGCTGAAGGTGGCAGAGGACCTGCAGCACTCCCAGTTCGATAGACTCACGCAGCTCCTGGCGGACTGACTCCGGACCCCAGGGCAAAGCTTCCATCATGGCACAAAAGCTCAGCCGGCTTGAGCCCGAGAGGACAGAGGTTCACGAAACGAAACACCAGACACTTCAGATGAATCGACGAGGTCTCAGCATCTTCCGGTGGAGATCGAGATCGCGGAGTCTTTTTGGCCTCCATGAAAGCACCGAGGCTCGAGGACTGGAACTGTGGAGCCTGCTTATCTCGACGGCCCGTGATGCTGAGAGCGACACTCCGATCGTCTGAACGGGTGGCCAGTATGCAGCATTGTTAATCTGCCTTGTTCAGTACTTGTCACGTTCAATAATGCCCCAAAGACTTCAGAAGAGCTTCCCAAATCCGACTGGCCTGGCATTCTGAAGCGGTGGCACCTGGCTGACGACAAACCCGCTGTGCTGTTGATTAAAACACAGCACAGTATGACATTTGCAGCTGGCCTGTACAGAATGCAGAACTTGGACCCTCTGCATGTCCTCGCTTGTCAGGCGCTTTATGTAGATGCAGTCACCCCACAAGCCCTACTGATGTCTGATATTTGCTAAGAGCAACACGAAGCATGAGCTACAGACATGTTCACGCGCAAGACTGCCAGGACCCAGACACCGGAGGTTGTGACGTCACCTTACCAGCATTGACGGCATAAAAACAACACGACGCTGCCATCAGCGCGTGGCTCCGTGGTTTTCTGTAGGAATGACAACACACGTGCATGCTTCTCATGATGCCCGTTACCCAGGCCTGCCTGAGGATTGATGGCATCATCCGTCTATTCCCGGTGTCGTAACTGGTTTATATTTTATAACCTGTCCCTGCTCTTGCTTGGCAGAAGTCTCGGATAGCCCACAAGAGATGAAAAGTTTTGGACTGCACAAAGTATTCATCAGTATGAAGTCACAATAGCTGGTAAGTTCACAAGGGATATAGAGCAATTTTTCACATGCATTTTGGACTCGGGCACTCTCGAAGTGTTAGGGTGCTGTCACAGTCATCCTTGCTCGTGCCCACGCTGAGGAAGATGGCAGCGGACGTGTGCATCGGTTTAAGGTTCATCGCAAGCAAGGCGAGCCTTGGAAACGACCCATCACGAGCAACATATGTACTGTATTTCAATGTATTTACGAGGCTCAGTGCACAACTGCGACTTTCATGTCGTCGCCAGTTTCTGCAGTTCCACAAACCAAAGCAGCAGACAGAAGCAATGCGCGCTGTTGACCTGCTCGTGCGACCTGCGTCTAAGTGCCAACAGGCAAGCTGAATTTGATGGCAGCCTCAGTTCCCAATGTCCTGTAAACCACGACTATGACCTTCCCACTCAAACTGTCACACTGCATCCAAATCCACATCAAGCAATCACGTCTTTGAGGCCACACGAGCTGCACACTACAATCTGAACAGCGTTGGAATGCTGAGATTCCAAATGGGCAGGCTGACCAGGCCCAGCTATGCACTCACTATGTGGCTTTGTCTGTAAGCTCTGTCTCGCGTTTCACCGTGAGCTGCGTAGGCGCGAGTAGCTCCTCGAAAAGAAGTACACACTACGGCTCTCTGCCCGACAACCACATGACCACGAAGAGAAAGATAAACTGCGCATCTGAGCCCTGAAAGCCCTGGGCAGCACGACAGGAAGTTGGTAGATGCTGCACTTTTACACTTGACAAGGGAAATCTTCTTGGGAGCTTGGGTCGTGGCAAAATCCCTTCCATTTTCGCTCCCATTCATGGCTCAGGTGGCCGTGCGGTCGTCGAACGCACCAAGACAAACGGTGCACAGTTCCGCATTCCTCCCGTCGCACCCATGGAGCCCAAACCGAGCAGAAGACCAGGGCCCACTTCTCGCAGCTCATCACGCATGAAGAGAACGCCCCCCCAAAATACATCGCCGTGCCTGGGCTGACATCAAAAACCCTGGAGAGACCATGGCCGAAACCGATGTGTCTTGCCTATTCTTGCCTGTTTTGCTTACGTGATTGCAGCTTCGTAGCTCAGGATCGCCGTAATCCAGGACGAGTGCCGGTCGGTCGTCCAGCTGCGAAGCTGCAACCCTGGCTGCAAAGCCACGCCTTTCGAAGCTTCCAAAGCGGTTGCTGCCTGCACGTCCATCTTTTTGAAATGCCTTGCCGCGCCAGATGTCGAAGGGACCGAAAAGGACGTTTGTTATGAAGAACGTCATGGGAGCCAGAACTCCCAAGGAAAGCAAGTAGCCATCGTAGCCTTTTCCCCGGTAGTCGGCAGGCACCGAGCCAGTGCGCCAGGCAGCCACAAAATCTGCCTTCTTTTTCAACTGTAAAACATCGTCGAGCGTCCGAAGCTCCGGAGCCTGGCGGGTGGGGCTGCCGTTCTGCGCAACATTCGTCGCAATCAGCAGAGCGAGAGTTGCCGTGGCAGCAGGCAGAACACCAAGCATCGCTTCATTCACTCACATGTATATCAGGGTGTGACTACATAGCCGCTGCAACCCTTGCAACTGGTTCTATTCATCGTAGCTACGACGGCATAAAACGGACTGCATTCAACAAAAATTTATAAGGAACCCATTGAGCTGTATTTCTCCGATCATTGGCTGCATGCAAGATTCCTGCCCGCACGGATGCCTCCAACGCCTCTCCTAGTACATGCCCGTACACGAGCCCAAGTCCTTCAACGATGGCACGAGGGCCATGATAGGGCCAATTTTTGCCTGGAGCAAAACAAGCCCGCCAAAGCTCGCAATGAACTGCATGAATCCATCACCTGGGGCTCTAGCATCTCTGCTGGCGAGAATGCTGATCACCAGCATTTCCATACCAACCTGCAAGTCAGCGAGAGGCTGGCGGGACCATTGCAGTCTGAGGACAACCTCCTGCTCATAGCAATGCGGCCCTCGGAGGCCAGCTGCGTTACAAGGCTTCCCTTTTTTGAACTCATGCCATCAAACAACTTGCAATTGCCGATTGTAGGGCGACATTCAGCCAACAGATGCAAGCCCGTAACCATGGCCTGAAGCACATAGCACTTGTCGTAAGTCAGCAGAATGCTCTGGGTCTTAGAGACGGCTAAAACATGAACAGCGATTCTGAGATTCCGACACTTGCTTCCTGAGACTGCAGCCTTGCCCAGACCTGCCACCTTCTCGCTTTGCTGCGCCGTCTGCGAGAAGATGGTGGTGATGATCGATCTTAGTCATGGCTACGGCAGCTACGGTCTGTGCAGAAAAACGTGTCTGGTCCTTGCCGGGCCACGTGGCAGAAGGATCGTGATCGAGCTTGTCTCCGGCCCTGCAGCTGGGAGGCCCAAGGCCACGTGAACTCACGGGTTAAAGAGCGTACTACTCTCCTAGCACAGCACTTCCCTTTGTATAATCTCTGCTAGCTAATACAAAACGTCAGACTGCCCACATGAATAGCACGTCCAACGAAACATTGGACGCTCCAGTCCGAACATGACGAACAAAACCCAGCAGGCTTCAGCACTTCAACGCCATCTTTGTCGGTGACGACGATTCTTTGCATGCCTTCGGGGATCGCGATATGGGCTTGGGATCAAAGATTCAGGGTTTAGGGAATGTGGTTGACTGCTCGGGAGCTGAATCATGAACCATACGCCGCATGATTTTGCCATGTGGCCGCTCGCACAGCTGTCATGATGTATATTGTCATTGCTGCGCTTTTGAACAACATCCATGTGATACGACAGCCACCTGCCGTCTGCTTGCACAACTTGTCCAGTGCGGTTTGCACTGTCACAATGGAAGGCCTCGGAACTCATGCAAGGCATCTGTACTGCCATAGCTGCAAGAGCTGCTGCGGTCCCGGCAGCGCCATGGCTGTTAGACCGGGAGATTTCGGCGCAATGGCTGCAACCAGCCAAATCTCAACTTCTTAACATGGAGACCATCGAAGCTTGCTAGCTGATAGTTCCAGGAACAATACCGATTTACAAACCGGCATTGAACTTATAAGACCCTGTTCGGGCCCGAAACCCATCATGGATGTTTCGGCTGTAGGCCAATGTCATCTGATGCGAGCTTATCGGCTGTATCCGCATGGCAAAGCTCCTGCATGTAGCTTGTGGTCTAGCGCTTTCCAGGGGAGAGGGCGAGGACTTGGACCAGACACCGCCCAATCGCCGGAAGACGATGAGATGATTGACGACCCGCCAGAGGAGGATGATGCTCTTGAGGCCTCCTCGGGCGAGGAAGTCACGGCCGAAGAGGTGTGTGAAGCCTTTGCGGCGTGAACTTTGTGAACTATACGTTCATGGTTAGTGGTGCCGGGGCGGAACCTGGTGGCACTGCGGCTCTCTCTTCTCCTTGGACCACCTGCCCTACCTGCCCCTTGTGCTTTGCAGCTGGTATGGAGATTTCAGCCAGGGTCCTGCACAGAAGGTCCTGCTGGATGAGAACGAAGAAAAAGAGACGAATAATACTTTGTGGCCACCAGCGACAAACCAGCTGCCGATTAATGCCTTTCTCGGAGCTCGGTTTGAGAGAACTGGAAATTAGGTGAGGTGCGGGCCTAATCTGATTATTGTACATAAAGGTCCTTTGGTCACAGAGCGTTTCAAGAGCGGTTCAAAATGGGCTGCTGATGCCAGCCTGCGGAAGTCATTCTTGGTTTAGGAAGCATCACCGTACAAGTAAAACGCCTTGCTTCTCCCACAAGAAGACCACACGCAACAGACGAAACGTTTTCTCCCGCACAATAACGAGAAAGCCACACGAAATCGAAAAGAGGTCTCAAGAAGGCTGAGACCTTTGAGGACTTGAAGCATCTTTTGAGAACTAGAAGATCCCTTCTCAAGTCCCCTTCAAAAACTGAAGTTGCCGTTCTTGAAGGTTTCAATCAGTCACTACGTGGACGGAGGGCCATAGCTTCGATAATGCCCATTGGCTAAGCTCGTGTATGACACTTAGATCCCAAAGAATGTCTCATCGTTTTCCGCAGGTTCAACCAACTTCAAACCTCAGGGCTGAACTAAATTCAATTGGGAAGGAGGAGCTCTTGGGATTCCCACAAGCTACCCGGGCCATTTTTTTGGCAAACCTTGCAAAAACGGCCCACGCCCCCTGCACCACGATAGGCCGAGCGCCTCGCATGATTCGTGCCACGCCTCCTCAGGTTTTGCAGACTTAAGGAGGCGGTCTTCCCCGGCTGGATTTCTGCGAGCCCTCCGCTCCACGCCTTCTGTTCCTTCTTTTGTCAAGGCGCCTGGCCTTGAGGACGCACCCGTCCATGCCGAAGTGCGTGGCGATCCTTTCCCTCTGTCTGGCCAGGCTGCTTCTGAGGATGCTGGCTTCAGCTTTGCCTCCTGGGTTTCGGCATTGCCTCGTTTGTTAAGGCAGGGCAAGACTCAGTTTGCCAGGTACCTCCTTTCTACTTTGCCTTTGCAAAGGGAAGCCTCTCTCGCTTCCTCTGCCGCTCTTCCCGCTGCCTCTTAAGTTTGAGAGGGTTTTCCACCAGCGGTCCTGCAAGAATGCTGCGGCTTCTTGCCGCCTCGCGGTCGCCCGGTGCACACACATGATTGCGATGACTTTGAATTTCATCCATGCCGGTTGCCGCCCAGTTCCATTGCGTTCTTTGCAGAGGCCCCTTTCCTCGTTGCAGGCCCAGGTCTATGAGAGGTTAGGTGTGCTTATCCGAGCGTGTGCCCGCCAGGCTGACCTTGTGCCTTCCTGTGCTGGGCGTCGCGGCCTTCACTTGGCCGCCCGTCTTTCAGAAGTTCTTTCTTTTGTGCAAGAACACGGGCTTGCTGCGAGCCCGTATTCGGCATCACCAGTCCTGTCTGAGGGGTCTGGTTTTCTGCCTCACGCGGCCTCCGACAATGAGGCACTGCAGCCCTACCGGAGCATACGAGCAGATGAGGTTGTTTTGCATGGCCAGGGTGCCCCTGGCCTCTCGAGAAACACCTAGGCCCCGACCTCCACCTCCCCTACGTTGAGCCCGAGGTTCTCCGCTGCCATGGCCCCCCAGCGCCCTCCCCTGCCTTTTCGTGCGACGGCCGGGGCGAGCTTGTTCGACTCTGCAAGGTCTGGGACGCCTCTAGGCTTTTGGGTCTCACTCCCGGTCCCCTTCCTCCTCGACTTTTAACTCGTGTTTTCGGGGCCTACAAGGGCCCTTCTCAGCAGAGGCAAATCGGAGACCGTCGTGGGATCAATGCCATGGAGTGTCGCCTTTACGGCCCTTCCTCTTTCATGCCAGCCCTTTGCTTTGCCGCATCCATGTGCCTTTTGGCTGCTGCTTGTGTGGCTCCGTCACCGACAGGCGTGACTTCTACACGCAGGCCGGGGTTTCTCTTGAGCGTTCGCTGACAAACGCCTGTGGACCCGGGCTTGTATGCAGGCTATGTTGACTTTCGCCGCCCGCCGTTGCTTGTCAGTGAAAAGCAGGTCGTTCATCCAACCTTCAAGGCGCTGTTTCAGGGTGATGCCGGAGGAGTGGAGTACGCGACGTCGGCGCACGAGGGTCTTCTTCAGGCTTGGGGTTGCCTTTTGGGCCCAGGGCGTCTGGAGGGCAGGAGTCGCGTTGCTGGGGTTGGCCCCTGGCAAGGG